CTATAGACCTATTTCACTGTTGTTTACTTTCTCTATCTCCAAACCGTTCGAATACAACATGTCTCTCCTGTCATCTTACCCGGTAAGTCTTAGAGAGAAGCCTTGTTTGCCTCCTTCCGTGTATGAAGGCATTGATGAAACTAGCAATGTGATATAATCTATACAGAATTCTGATCTTATTCCCAAAAAGCTCATTTCTTTAATAAAGAAATTTTTTTCTACCTGAAAGATGATAGTAGTAGCGCGTTCGAAGAGACACCATGATAGCTTTTAATCCACTCTGTTTTTCCCCTTCGAATGCAATTACCAGTTCATTTGATAAATATTGATAAAAAATGAATGAGTGTCTTGTGTTTGCAAGCGATCATAATGTTTCCGAAAATTAAATAGTCTAGAAGATGCATAAAGCTTAAAGGATACCTAGATCACCATTCCCAGTGGAATGACATTGAACCCTCAAACGTGTATTGTCATTAGGGCAACTTTAAATATGAAGAAAACTAATTATAAATATTGTTGATGACAAACCCATTAACAGGTCGTTTTGGTTTCAGGCACACACAATCTAGCTCATCCTTGTCAGGGCCGTTACAGACTTTGCCCTGCGTACTCTAATATATAAAACATTGTGACTTTAAGTGTAATATTAGACAGCTTTCTTAACATTTGTTTTGTCATATTTTATAAAAACCTTCGTAAGAAGTGCAAATGTCTTCACAAGCTGATGTGGCGAAATTATAAATACCTCGATCCGCATTCTACACACATTTTTACGTGGTATCGTACTCTTTTAACACCTAACCTTAATTTATGTTTAGCTATTTACGACTTTATTTTTTATTTTCAGGCCTCGCACAGCCGTTCTTTTTACATCAGCCTCAACCAGACTGACTTAAACTTCAGTCCTGTAGACATGTTAACGACCTTATTGTTTTTATGCTATAAACAATAATGTAATTTGTGGACTTGATTGTGATTTAATTACAAATTTCGGCCTTTTGGTTCTGGTGCCTCGCTAATAAAATAGTGATCTTTTTAATTTATCTTTATAAAGACGAAAAAGAGGAAAATTTGCCAATTTATTATAACCACTACTTTTCGCCAAAGTATGTTAGATTTATCAGTTAATTGTCACCGGTGTTTATGTGTACCATTCCCTAATTGGCGTAATTTTGGATGGTGTTTAAATGGTTCAATAAAAAAAAAAATATTGAGAATGATGTTATATTTTACTGTACGTAGAACAAAAATCAAAAAAAGTATGTAAGATATTGAACGTCTTTTACCTTTTGTAGTGAACAAACTAGATTTTCATCTCTTAACTGCTGTAATTCACATCGGAAATACATCCATTTCAACGGAACAGGCTTGACCAATGTTTTCATAAGAACCTCAAGTACATTCTTTAGCTCGAAAACAGTTTTATCTATTTCTTGACAGTTGTTTTCGATATCAAAGTATTTGTGGTAAACGTGTGATTCGTATGGTTTTCCCTCCAGCTCATTACTTATCTTTTTGAACGCTTCCTTTACCTAGATTTTTTAAAGAATAATACATATAACCCTATCACTTATAATATTCATAACTACTTTTGATATCAGAATATTGATAGAGGTGGAAGTTTGGAGGTTTGAATTATATAAGACTTCATGAAGTGTATATATTGACGCTGGAACCACGAGGTGCTATAACCAGAACCAGTGGCGGCGCCAGCGGGGGCAGGGGCTTAAGCCTCCCCACCATCGGTCTGGTCAAGCCCCCACCCCCTTCATTATCAGCCAAAGCTCGGCGGGCAGTCGGACCAAAAAAAAAAAAGTACACATCTAGATGCGTATAAGAGACAGCCTTAGCCCCCTCCCCCTATAAATTATATCCTAGAGCCGCCACTGGCTATGACTGGCTTCAAAGTAGTCTTCAATATTGATTCAAGGAGCCAAAAAATGCAACTTCAAGATAAAAGGTACATAACTGATATCTACGTTAATATGGGTGTTATTACGGCTAGTCAATTTATCCACAGACCCTATAATATAGTATATAACCCTATAGATTTGTCAAACTATTGACATGGCTATTTTTAGCCTATCATGCTACGAACTAAACACCTTGCGAATTTTGTGAGTTTGGCTGTCTTCTTTTATTGGATTACCAGTCGCCTTTCTGCTTTAAAACTAGTGCAACTTCGGGAGGCAACGGACCTAGGGTGAGAAGGTGGGCAGTGCATAAAAGAGCATGTATAGTAGGTGGGTGTAAGGGCCGGCCATGACCGGAAACGGTTGGACAGTTAATAAGAGAATGAACTGGAAGGCAATATAATTGCTTGTTAGCACACTAACAAACATAAAAATCACACTATTATAGCTCCAAGCGGCTGGTAAATGCCTAGTGAATCGAAAACGTGTGCAATCAGTAGTATTATCAATGTAATAAGTAATGTAGTGATGTTACAACAAATTTAAATTTAAAATCCCTAAATTTGGCCCAAATAATAATTACAAAGTTGGCTGCGTAAATGTAATCTTAAAACTCAGTTTCGAACCATAAGCCCACTACACCTTACATGTGGCAGTTGAAAAATATGGTTTATTTTTATAGCATTCACCTTTTACCAATGCATAACAAGAATGAATAGCATCATTCCAAATTAGACCTGAACGTGCTTAGCACATTCCGCAGATGGCGGCTGCGTCTAGTTTATATTAGTGAAAACTTATCTCAAAATTTATCACTTTAATTGCCTTCTACTATTATGTAAAATTGTAATTGTATGAACCTTGCGGTCTCTTTCTTCTTCATTGTCACCAAGGGAATCACGATGGGTGCCTACGAGAACGATAGCAGGTAAATCAATATCTTCGTCCATGTCATCTATTAATTGGCGGCTATGGGTGTAAACTGACTCGATCCAATATATTATGAACTTAAGGTTTGTCAAGAGATGAGGGTACTCCTTCTACAAATGAAGAAACAAGAAATAGATTATTTTAAAAATTACCTAATAAATCATATTCTGTATTCTTGAAAGGCTATGGTACGATATGGCTTACGGTTTCAGTTGACACCGTCTTTCTTGGGAACTATAGTACAACAGACGCAGTTTTCCAACACTTGATCTAGCTACTACAGTACTATAGTATACTGTTTCTCGTGTTAAAAAGCAACAGGCCTAGTATTTATGAAATCACTTTACCAAATATTGCTAAAATTGTATACTTACTCCTGATGAATCTTGAACTATAGCATGTTCATCGAGGCAGGATTCAAGATTGAATACCACAATATAAACCGCCATGAACGTCATGAAGATCTGTTAAAGCAATTTGTTTTTATTGCATGTTTAATTAAACAGTGTACATCCTACTGATTAAGATCCTTATGATATTACGACAAAAATTAAATTTGGTATAATAATATGTCGCATTACTTACTTTATGTATTCCATGGTAGATCAACTGACCTCCATAATCCCATATGTTGAATGTCTCCTCTCCTATGTTGTGCCATTCTCCCAAACCTTGTTTCTTGTAATAAATTCCCTTTCTGAATCCTTCATCAACCTGATTTCGTATTACCCTTGGTATTCTTGGCATTTTAGGTTCAGTTTCTAAAACGTGTATTTGCTCTCTTGGATTGCGTACTTCAGATTGTATTAGTTCCTCTTTTGTAGTACCAGCTTAAAGATTTTGTAATTGATAACAATAGTTTAACTTTTACCACATGTGCAGTACTTCATCTTAATACTTGATTAATTTCCATCCATCTAATGCTGCCATAATCATAATTTTATCGAATCTTAGCCCCAACCATAGTGCAGCAGAGTAGCCAGTCATTTCAGTCTACCACTCCGTTTAATTTTACGATTAGCTACCGATATCTCAAGGTATAACGGATGATGAATATCATCCTCTAAAATGTTATGAAACATTTTAATTAAACATTAGTGATACACCGATTAAATCGACCGCTGGCACAGACCAGTATATACATTTTACGAACAATACTCTACTAAATCCTTCCCTTCACATTCAGACGCGTTATCAGCCCAACATTTAATATAATATTCGATTTGTAAAATAGAGAAAGTATGATTACAAACATGAAATGATTTAAGCTGGTTTTCCACTAGGCGAATTTATTCGCGCGAATTAAAGCGTCGGTTCGCTTCCTGAGTTCTGAGTTAAGTAAAATATTAAATACATCGGAACATACAAATAAAACATCAAATGGAAATAACATCACCAGTCTACTTGAAAAAGCGAACGGATCGTTCGCGAAACGTAGTGTGAGTACTATTGGTTTTTATTTTGCTGGATCAACACTAATGAAAAATTTCATACAAAATTCAAATTGGCGTTTTTCTCATTAACCATTTACTTTATGCAGACGACCTTGTTCTTATGAATGACACTATTTTTGGTTTGCAATCTTCTTTAAACAAATTGGCTGTCTATTGTGATAAATGGGGTCTTACTGCTAATATTGAAGAAAGTAATGTTGTCGTTTTTAAAAATGGGGGAAAATTTAAAAAAATAGAAAAATGGTATTATAAAGATGTTTTATTACAAGTAGTTAACTCTTACAATTATCTTGGTGTAGTGTTTAATTCAAATGGCACATGGACGAACGCAATTAGTTATAACTGTACAAAAGCAAACGAAGCTCTATTTATTTTAAAACGATTAATTCATAACCGATTTGGCAACTTACCAATATATTTGTGGAACAAAATTTTTGATGTAAAAATAGTACCAATATTAATGTATGGCAGTGAGATCTGGGGAATCAACGACATACCATCTATTGAAAAATTTCACTCTAGGTTTTTTAGGAATAGGCAACACAGCTCCAACTATTGCAGTTATGGGTGAATGCGGAAGATTTTCACTTTCTGTTGCTGGTATTTGAAATGCTTTACGTTATTGGTTACGTTTAATTAATGTAGATAATAAAAGTTGTATTTACAGTTGTTATAAATTCCAGTTAAGAAGATTACAGTCGAACGATAAATCTTGGTTATACTTTATTAATGAGAAATTATGTTCAATTGGTTTTGGTATAATTGGTATGAACAATATGTTGAGAACATTGTTGCTTTTATATCTGAAATAACTACTCGTCTAACTGATATTCAACGTCAACATTTTCATGAACAAATTTTCCACACTTAAGTATTATGTGACATTTAAATATAATTTTACAATGGAATTACCTAATGCATATACACAGTTTTAATTATAGACGTATTCTCCCTAAGTTGCGTTTAGGAGTCCTTGAATAAGAAATTGAAACTGGTAGATGGACAAAAATTGATAAAAAGATTATGCAAACATTGTACATTAAATTTAGTTGAAAATGAGTACCATTTTACTTTAATTTGCCCTTGTTACACTGATATTCGTAAACATTATATATTTAAGTACTTTAATGTTAATCCATCCAAAGTTAAGTTTACTCAATTAATGTCCACTACTGATATCAATACAATAAGTTGTGTATGTAAATTTCTTTATCACTCATTTAAACGTAGAAATGATCATTTCCCTCTGTAAATAGCAATTATATTTTATTTGGGCCGAAGGCCTTATATAAAAGATGAAATAAATGTCCTTGGCCAGTACGTGCCAAGGAACGGAACGATTGGTTGCGCATTTTTTCGCAGCAAAAACTCCGATAGAACTGTGAATGCGCATGCGCATGAGCCGCCGCTTTCCATTCGCGCGAATAAATTCGCCAAGTGGAAAACAGGCTTTAGGCTGGTGAAGGCAATGCATCCAACTACCTGGCTTCTTTATCTTAATAATATAACAGCCCTCTCGCCTTTTTTTTTTTTTTTTTTTAAAAGTGGGTGGGGTTTTTTTTTGAAAAGTGGCGGAATTTCGGAAAATTTTGTCTACAAAATTTAACGGGTGAGTGCAAAATTTTAAAGGGTGGATACATTTTTGTACGAATTATAGTGCCGGACACGACTCGGCAAGACTCTACTCGCTCTCGAAAGATATACAGGATTCTTTATTTGTTTACTGGAAACATAATGAGAAAATAATGAGAAGTTATTATTATTATTATTATTATTATTATTATTATTATTATTATACATAAGTATAATATTTTGAAGTGGTAATTATTATTATTATTATTATTATTATTATTATTATTATTATTATTATTATTATTATTATTATTATTATTATTATTATACATAATACTTTGAAGTGGTAATTATCAGTTGTGTAAAAATAGTTTTTAAAATAATAGGAACCAACTAAAATAATGTTGTATTCCGACAGGTCTATGTACGGTAATCGCAAGAATAGTTGCTCTCCTCAACACTCTCTCCTATATGTATTTATGAGAGAAAATAGGGTCAGGTTTTCAGTGAACAATCTCGGTAGGCTTATTGATATGGATACAATGTGCAGGCAACAATCGAGTCAGTGGAGTTATATCATTTTCTTTTCTCACTTCCCTCGGCCTTGAATCATAAATGATATTTTTACCAAAATCCGACGATAGTTTTCATTTTAGTAGAGTGAACTGAACCAACAACTTGCCGCGCGTGTTAATAATCGTATTTCGCGATCATAAGCTAAGATCTGGACTATGCTGAAGATGCTTCAATATTACAATAACCAAAATAAAGATCGTAACCCTGAGGGTACATTGACATTAAGGCAATTTTACAGGCTGGCTTAAATATAAAATCAGGTCTAGCCAATTTTGTATTACTGTTATGCTCGCGCACGGCTGATTACTCCCCATTTTCTAGGCGGTACTTTTTAGGCCTACAGGTTCTCCCTAGAGTTTAATACTATGTCCTCCGAATCAGATGTGTATATTTGGTTGACTACAGTATTACATTTAGATAAAAAACTAGTTCATCATATTAAAAACAAAATACGCTTCACTTTTGAAAAGATAGTATACACTTTTTTTTTTTATAAGAACCAGTAAAATTTTGCCCAGGCTCAGTGTTCTTATATTTTAGCTGATTTCAGGCTCAAAATGTTCTTAATTTGTTCTTATTTTACAAACTTTTCAAACCTAGAAAATTATTATTGTACAGCAAAATGGGCCCTAAAAAATGCCATGGAAAAATTGCCCCAGAAAAAAAGGCCTGGTAAAAATGGCCCCAAATGACAGTACACCTGATTATAGTGGGTATTACATAGTTACACCCGCATTACTGCACATAAGGTACAGATATAATTTTTAGGATTTTCAAAAACCTCATTTGACATTTTACCTCACCCTCAATTTGTTCTTATTTTGTTCTTAATTTTTAAGCAATTTCAGCCTCAGTGTTCTTATAAAAAAAAAAGTGTAATACATACTCCAAGTATCGAAATGCCCGTCATCGTGTCGGGATTCAATATTTTGACAATTAATATGTCATCATCATTCCTGATGAGGACATAATTAATGTCGAAATATTGAATCCATAGTTAATGTCGAAATATTGAATCCCGACACGATGGTTTGCATTTCGATACTTGGAGTATGTATTATACTATCTTATCAGAGATTAATCAGTGAACTTTCGGTATTCTTTACTTTAGAAGTATTAGTTATAACTGATCGTCGAACTGCGGTGTCTTCGTTTAATTATATTCAATTCAAGTATACATTTATTTTCTTCTTTGATAATATACAGCACATAAGTTTATTTAAAAAACAATTTTGAACAAGAAGAGGGCAAAAACCAAAAAGGCAACAACTTGTGGGTGGCATGCCCAAGACATAGAACAACGAAATGTAGGCCCCTACTTGAAATTCACTTAATACGAAAAATACAGCTACTTTGAGGTGTAGCGTTGCTCGCAGCCATATAAGGAAAACTTGAGCACTGCTCGAATATAACACCACGTGGATAAGGTGTACGGTAAGAATGGCCCCGGAAAAAATGGCCTAGGAAAAAATGGCCCCGGTAAAAATGGCCCCAAATGACAGGTAGGTAAAAATGGCCCCAATAATAAAATTCTGTATTAAAACTGATTTAAAAAAAAATCATTATATGCATTTTTTTAACTGAAATAATTTAGTTTTTAAAAAGGAATATAACATCAAATAAATTGCCATTTACATTTTACTTTTTGCAGGAATTACATATTCAATGATAAAATATTCAAAGATAAAAAAAAGCCATGAATAACACTTTTTATATTTTTCCATTTAAATGTTAAAAAATAGTAACATAATCAATAAATCAACATAAATCATGCATTTAATAATACTAAAATAATTTATTTGTGGCCAATTTCACGGAAGCGGAATCCCAATTTTCCAGAAATTCAATCCGGGTATTGGTAAACCCCCAAAACAATGAGTTTATATGAACATCAAATTATTATTATTTTTTTTTAGAAATAGATAGTTCTACAATCATAATTAAAGGGTTTGGATGGGGTTTGCAGTGTGTTTGGAGATTTGTAGTGTATTTGCAAGTATTCACAAAAAAAAAAATCAACATTTTAACCAAAAAATAGGTTCTTATGAATATTTTATTTTCTTAGGGATATACCAAGTGAGTCAATAAAAATTGAATTGTTTGGTTTTCTACAGTGGGTTTTGGGAGGTTTGTGGAATTTAGAAATACCATTTAACCCTACCATAATTACCATACCCTCACAATTACATGCCATTTTAATTCTTAGCATAATTGCCATATTTACATAT